CGGTCAAAGGCCTAAGGTCCCGGTAGGTCGGGCTTGGGCTCCGGTCCTCACCGCTGTCGTAGCGTCCGCCACGACGAGGGTGGTAGCCGCGGCCAACTTCCTCTCTCTCGTCGCTTCGTCCACACCTACGGGCATCTAGGGTGTTACGCGCGTCACAGTGGAGGCCGAGACACTCATGTACCGGGCCCACGGCACCTGGTGGATAGACACGTCCCTGACATGTCCCGAGGGCACGCGCTGACTGGTGTCAAGCTCGTGTCGCCGAGACAGCGAGCTCTCTGCCTGCTGCACCGCCGCGTGCTTGAGCAGCACGCGGATCTCGCGATGGGCCCAACAATCCTCGAGTGTCATAGGCTCCAAAAGCCCTCGGAGCAAGGCTGCCGTGACAGCGATGTTCTGGCTTGCCCGTGCGAAGTGTGGGAGTGCTCCATCGTCTTCGATGATCCTTCGGTTCACGTCGCGGGCCATGGCGCGTGCACGCCCACTGTCTCCACGGTGCTCGATCTCTTGCTCGAGCTCCGCGCGCTCCTGCTCTAGCTGGAGTCCCGCATCCTCGAGTTCTCTGTGCCGCGCCCTCAGCTGCTCCACCCGCAGGCGAGGTGGGGCCCCTGCATCTCCCTTGGCCTCGTCATCGAGGTCATTTGGTGGGGTAGCCCCACCCTCGTGGACGCTTTTGACGCGTCCCTTGGGGATACCTGCCATAAAACACTCTCACGAGGGGTGATGGCTCCCCATGCTGGAGTCAGAGTCGGAGGGCGACTCTGAATCTCTCGCAAGAAGGTCGTGGAAAGATTTCGCGACGTATTCAGTCACCCCCACGAACTCATCGTTCTTAGGGGATGGATCCATGCGCTGCACCACAAGGTATCCAATGGTCTCTGCGGCGTTGCGCAGACCGAACGGGAACGCTGTCGGGGCATTCCGGATGAGGTATTCTAGGGAGAGCGGTTCCCCTCCGCAAGCTGCGTCATGATGTTGGCGAACGAGAAGGTGAGGCAGCGCAGGTCCTTTCGGGATGGTCGGGGTCCCAGGAAGACGTGGAGCTGGCGCTCTAGCCTCCTGTAATCGAAGCCGAGGAGTTGGTCGCTCCTGGGGGCACGGGCCTCCGGTGCGTGCAACTGCAGCTCCTCAAGCGCATCGACGATCGCGTCGAGGCCGGCAGAGTGGAGGGGTTAGACGGTGGCGGGAGCCTGCGCTAACTCTCCATCTGTCGTGACGATAAAGTCCAGGTTCCCGAAGCGCACGTGACTAGCCATCCGAGGCCTGATGTGGACGTCGAGACGCGCAAAAAACCCCTACTTGGCACGTGAATTGTCGATGTTTCGAACCACTGGCTAGTAAATTTGTATCTACGCGTCTGACATGGATGGTGTGCTCAGAGGACACAATGATTTATGCTAGTTCGAGCGGAATGTCCTTACGTCCAGTCTGCTGCTGCTCGTGTTACCGGCGCTAGTTTGTAGTAGGGGTTACAAATAGGCGAGAGAGAGAAGTTCCCAAGTCTTTGGTGAAAAGATCGAATAGAGTTGAGTCTTGTTGAGCTCGTTCAGCCGTGTGCTCCCTCTCCTCATGGGGCGTCCTGCTTCCTCTTTTATAGGTAAAGGAGAAGGCGCAGGTTACAGAGATAGAAAAGAGAGAGGAAAAGGGAAAAGCGAGGGAGAAGAAGGCCTTCAGGGCCGCCGCGTCCTTCTTCTCCTTCATGCGGGTCCTGTCGACGCTGTAGATGGCGATGGTGATGGCTCCACGTCAGGCTCCTGTTCACCACTAGTGCCATACCTCGACGTCATCAGCTGGTCGTGGCGTCCCATCCCGCCCCGGCGGATGGCGTGGTGGACCGACGTGCCTATCAGAGGTCGTACGGGGATTAGGCAGCACAGCGACCACGTACCCTGTCACTATTGGCGATTCGAACCCCCGGGCGTGGCCTGACGTGGCCACGGGTCATGTCGAGACGTGTCCGCTTCCCTCCCGGTGTCAGAAGTTTGACCCCGTGGTCGTACCCTTAGACCCGTAGTGGTTGGAGGCGGTATGCGTCCCCGTCGGGCGAGACGGAGCCCGTGCCCTCGGGGTCGGGCGGGACGGAGCCCGTGCCCTCAGGGTCGGGCGAGACGGCTCCCGTACCCTCGGGTCGGGTGAGGGCGAGACGGCTCCCGTAGCCTCGGGTCGGGCAACACGGGGCCCGCGCCCGAGGGGTCGGACAAGACGGAGCCCGTGCCCTCAGGGTCGAGCAAGACGGCTCCCGTACCCTCGGGGTCGGGCGACACGGGGCCCGCGCCCAATGGGTCGGGTGAGACGGAGCCCGTGCCCTCAGGGTCGGGCGACACGGGGCCCGTGCCCGAGGGGGTCTGGCGAGGCAGAAACCGTCCCTTCAGGGTCGGTCGAGACTGAAATACGTCCTTGATTATCTAGGCGAGTTTGTCGTCTACGGTCCTTAGATCCCTTCTTTGGGTATCCCTAACACTGATACCCGACACCGGTATTCAAGGAGTTGAACTAGGATTTCTAAATGGATAGGATAGGGTATGTCTATATGTGATAGATAATGTAAATGCAAAAATTTGTCTTCTAAAAAGGGAAATATTGAATGAATAGATTGGAAATTTGAAACTTTGGTATTTCTTTTTCTTCTGGACAAGATAGTTGCCCTAGCGAGAGTGGGATTTCTACAACAATCCCAAAACCCTCAGAAAATAATTGTTGAAAACTCGTGGACAAACAACAGTCCTAGCATATAGCCCAGCTCATAATTTATTCGTCCCCAATGAAAACCAGTTCTCGAGGAAGTCTTTCAGAGAGATCGGCACCTTGTCCCCAGCCCAGAAGCCTCTCTGAAAGAGAACCAGACGAAGCTAGGTAAAAACACACTTGAAAAAGCACATGATCTGTATTATCAGAAACACCAGAAAGTATGCAGTTATTGTTTCCTTTCGGATTTTTCCTCTGTAAGGTTACCCCTACTTGTATTCTGTTGTGTAGAACTGGACGCATGAACAGTTTTATATTTCATGTTCTGCCGGATCTTTTGCAATCTTCTATCTTTTTTAACACCCCTAAAAGAAAGCATTTTGTACATGGACTTGGTTGTGTACCATTAGCATCTGAATGTTTCAAGCACTCGGTGTACTTAATCTTTGGTTTGAATTCAGTTGCGCTGTGTTCCAGTAAACCCAGCTTGTGAGTTCCCTTTGCCCAAACGCTCTTGGATGTTGATGGTATGGTCCTCTCTGTCCCACCAGTCAGCTACCGCTACTCTTAGGTCTTCACAACCGACTAATGAACATTGTAGCTGCAGCCGCAGTAGCGGCTTTTTTGCGCAACGGAACACCCCCAAGATATAAAATCTAGAAATAACATCTTAAGAGACACTTTCTGTAATCCAAATGTCACCCCAAAGGAGTGTATTTGAGCAATTGTTTCAGACCGACCCAGAACTGAGATCCCCCTTTACCCGAGCAAGTTGGCAAATTTTTGTTCTCCAGATACGTTCTCTTTAACAAAGAACAAACTGGATCACCACTATAGTTCAATCTCCATACCCATTTCAGTAACAAGGCTGTGTCCATCAGCCTTTTGTTTAGTAAACCCAGTCTTCCATAGTCTTTGGGAATGCAAAGTTCCTTTCTTTTAATAATCTGCCTCTATTGCCTTGTACTATGGAATTAGCTACTCCCATCATTTCAAATTGTATGCCACTTTAACTTTGTTTTAAATCAAATTTCTCTAACTTTAAATAAAGATTTAGAAAACTATATTATTATTCACAAGTTCAACTGAATGTACTATCAATCCGTATTTTATAGAGACTTTTTTATGAAACCAATTTGATGTTATAGATGTGGTGTTTCTTTCTATAAATTTGGTCGGAGCTAGTAAAGTTTGAATCAAGAAAAAATTAAGGTGACGTATTAAATGGATGTGGTATTCTCTCAAGTTTTAAACGCTGCCATGTTCTGTCTTCAAGCTGCTTTCGGAGCTGAGCGACTGCGTATGAACCTTTTCGGGCAGGCGGGCAGCAAACACCAAACAAGCAGCAGCACCAGCGAGAAGCCAGCGGCGGCAACGGCTTAAAAAATGTGAAGCGGACAGGTCCTTTATTTGTCACGGTGGATGCAAGCGCTGTTATCGTACTGCCACTCTTGCGAACAAGTGTAGGATAAGTCCATCTGACATGAGAAGTGACGCAGTCGGTGAACAAGTGTAGGAGCATTTTCGGAAGCTACTTTGGTGTAAGAAAAAGACCTTGGTTTTCAATTTAAAACAAGGATATACTTGAGCTTATGGACAAAAGAAGATTTTGTTATGCATATCGCGGTCTCCTGCCCACTCCTCTGGATTGCCTGGAAGAGCCACGATCGAGTGATCTTCGATGACAACGTGAACCAAGCACCATCGGTCATGGAGCCGCCGCGTAGGAGCATATAACTATTCCACCACAAAAGAAAGTGGTATTTTGTTTCAATATCTCTCCGTTTCAAACTATAAGTCATTTTAGTTTTTCTAAACATATAGACTTCGTTCGACAGCAGATAAAAGCAGATGCTGTTGGCTACAGCAGTACAATATTACTGCTCAACTGTAGCAGCAGCCAGTCGATAAGTTCAGTCGAATAGGGCCATAACTTTTATCATGAGCCTAGTTACCTAGATATCTATTACAAAGTATGTCTACATAATCCAAAATCAGAACAATTATGATTTACTCATTCGATTCTAAATTATAAGAAGTTTTGGCTTATCTAATATATATTACTAAGCAAAGTAGCAAAGTGGATACCAAAGGCAAAGTAGCAAAGTGTACCTGAAACACCGAAACGTCAATAATTTGAAAGGGAGGGAGTTGTGTGCTCTCCGAAGCATGAGAGACAAAGCAAACACCTGCCGTGGAGAGCCAGAGTCATACGTGGCAAGTCGGTGCAATTATCCACACTCGGTATATTTCGGTAATCTGGCCCTCCCGCTCAGGCAGCGGCGACGGAGAGGAAGGTCGTCGATGAGGCCCGGATGCGGAGCTGCGGCCCGCGGCCGCGGGGGTGCCGTCCGAGTCGGCCGACGCGCGGCAAGCTGTTTTCTGATCCTGCAACGTTGATAAGCGCCACTCTGCAACCACCAAGGACACGGTACGAGCTCGTTCTTCCGCACGGTAGTGGAGCACGCAAGTACACGCAACGCACTTCTCCGGCCCGACCAGCATACACTACGCGAACGCGACGGCCGACGGCAGAAGCAACTACTCAGCATCGCAGGCAAGTCGAGGCACGGTGTCACCGACAGGTGGATCACGCAGGACGACCCGGCCACGCTGCTCTACTCCTCGGGCACCACGGGGCCCAGCAAGGGCGTCGTCGCCACGCACCGGAGCCTCATCTCCATGGTGCAGATCATCATGACGCGCTTCCGCCTCGAGGGCTCCGACAGGACCGAGACCTTCCTCTGCACGGTGCCCATGTTCCACGTCTACGGCCTCGTCGCCTTCGCCACGGGGCTGCTCGGCTGCGGCGCCACCATCGTCGTGCTCTCCAAGTACGAGCTCCCCGAGATGCTGCGCTCCATCAACGAATACGGGGTCACCTACCTCCCGCTCGTGCCGCCCATCCTCGTCGCCATGCTGGCGCACCCCAAGCCGCTGCCGCTCGGGAACCTGCGCAAGTTGCTCTCCGGCGGAGCGCCGCTGAGCAAGGAGCTCATCGAGGGGTTCAAGGAGAAGTACCCGCAGGTGGAGATCCTGCAGGGGTACGGGCTGACGGAGAGCACGGCTATCGGCGCGTCCACGGACTCTGCCGAGGAGAGCCGTCGGTACGGGCACGGCTGGGCTGTTGTCGCCCAACACCGAGGCTAAGATCGTCGATCCGGAGACCGGCGAGGCGCTGCCGGTGAACCGCACCGGCGAGCTCTGGATCCGGGGGCCATACGTCATGAAAGGTAACAAAGCTCGGGAATCACGTATGTCCATTGTTTAGATTTTATTTCAGATCAGATGACTAGACTCTAGACATATGCCTTCAACTGCGAATGTCTTTGACCAGGGTGTGGTGTTAATAATAAGATAATAAGGGTAATTGCAAAAAGAAGAGATAACCATGTGCTGATAATACTTGCATAGTACATAGCTTGCAAGAAAACAAATCAGTGTTACCAAGTAACCAAGATGTATCTTTGTAGATCTCGATGCTGGGCTCCAACTTCCTGTATTTAATAACAAGTAATCATGTGCCGACGTGCATGATGTCTGTTGAACATGTATGCCATCACAGTTGCTGGCTTACTGCTACAGTTTGTTTTATGTAAGCAATCTATTGCAATTTGATGTTCACCAATATGTCAGTGATCTGTGTTAGCTGTGATGGCATATTGGTGTCACCTGGAACCGGAAGCCTTTTATACAGTCTCACTTCTTCAAGCCTAGTTCAGGAATCCGCTCCCAACAATTTTCAGTAGAGTGCTAGCACACAATATGGTCAGGTCAGAAAGTAATGGAATTGCCTGCCATCAGTATGCTCATTTTGTTCCAGACCGCTAAATATGTACTCAGGTGGTTCTCGTCTCACAAATACAGTCAGTTTATGTTAAAATGAGTTTCAGAGAATTGACCCATAGCATCTAATGTCACCTCAGGAAAAGAGCGTGCCACATTATCTATGTTATTGATTATGCTTAACCACAGAATCCAATTTTGCTGTTTAATATATCTTGATCTTGAACGAGTACTCATCAGGATTTGCCCTTCCGAAAGTAGAAGCGTAAGCGTAAGCAGACAGCAAGTGTTGATGCTGATTCTTGCTGTCAACAGCAAGCTTAACTAAATGTTTATACATTGTGGATTGAGTGCCACCACACTAGTTGTAAGATTTCAAGTGTTGACTTTGTTCTGTCCCGAACATGCATTAGATTGAGCATGTATGAGATTTGCTTCTACTGCCGCCTCAGTTGTTTCATATCAGCAATCTAATTGCAGTTTGATGTTCTCCATTCTCCAATATGTCAGTAAGATGGATTAGCTGTGCTCAACTGTGATCGAGTAACTCACAGTTTGTGTCCCCTGGAATCCTTTAGCACAGTCCCACCCTTTAAGCGTAGTTCAGGAACTGATTCCAACCATTTTATAGAGTAGGACACAACATGCACAACTCAGAATTACCAGAATTGCTGCCTCCAGTGCTTAGACAACAAAGTTCCTATGTATTTTGCATGAATTTCACGGTATGCTCATTTCGTTCCACACCGCTAAATATTTACTGTACTCAAGTGAGCTCATCTCACAAATAGACAATCAGTTTATACAGTTAGGATGAGTTTTCAGGTAATTGCCCCTGAAATGTACTAGTAGCATCTAATGTAACCTGTCTAACAATGCTCAGGAAAAGAGCATCATTTTATATGTTATTGATTATGTTTAATCACAGATAAGTTAATTTCGTCTGGGAAAAAAAAAAGAAATTGTTTTAAAAAAACTTTGATGGTTAAATTATTTTGATCTTGAACAAGTGCTGAGGGTTTGGCTTTCTGAAAAAGGCTGAAGCATAAGCAGACAGCAAGGCACGTACAAAACAGCTATATTTAACTGAAATGTTCATACTCTCTGGATGACTTTCACCCTACACTGGGTTGCAGTGAAGCAGTGTTGACTCTGTTCTGTCCCGAACGTGTATTAGAATGTTCAGAAATTCGGGTTGTCAACACTTGATGTTACTTTCTGTTGATTCAGTAACCAGAATATAGTTTCATTTTCATTTTTGAACCTTAACGGGAAGTGTGGTCTGGGTATCACAAACAGTCATAGATAAGTAGTGGCCTCTGGTAACATGAATTCCGTAGTAGTACAAGTTGGTAGATTTCATCTTTTAGAACAGGTTGGTCAGTACCTTATGAACATGCAACTTTGATCTTCCCAGGGTATTTCAAGAACACGGAGGCAACACAGTCAACGTTGACACCTGACGGATGGCTCAAGACTGGGGATCTCTGCTACATAGATGAGGATGGGTATCTCTTCGTTGTGGATCGGCTGAAGGAGTCGATCAAATACAAAGGGTATCAGGTAAACATCGCTGACCTCTGATATCTTGCCTTGAAATGCCTCTCTACAGTTGTCACCTTGTTGGGCAAGGCCTGGCTGAACCTCTGCTGTAAACACTAAAACTCTGAACACTTGGTCCTGCTGCAATCCCATAGCAGCCGCGGTTCCGTCCCTAGAATTCGAAGAAAAAAAGATTAAAAAAATGCTTCTTCTGTAGTCTGAACCATTATTTTTTTGGAGAATAGTAGTCTGAACTGAACTATTAAGTGTTCCTTGGCATCTGAAATATAACTTGTATATGGACAGGTGCCTCCGGCAGAGTTGGAAGCTCTTTTGCTAACACACCCAGAAATCCAAGATGTCGCCGTTATACCGTGAGCGTCGGTAAACTCCTTATGGCATCTTGACTGTACCAGGTCTGTATTTAATAAATTAGTGAATGTGCTGGTGCTTTCGGCAGGTTTCCTGATCGGGAGGTCGGCCAGTTCCCAATGGCCTACGTGGTGAGGAAGAAGGGGAGCAATTTGTCAGAGCGCGAGGTGATGGAGTTTGTGGTGAAACAGGTACAAGGAACCGAAACATCACGTTCACTGTATATACATAATGCATGCGTTCCTCCGACTGAATTTCTGCATTTTCTCTGACCTGCTGTGGTGCATGTAACGTTCACAGGTAGCGCCTTATAAGAAGGTCAGAAAGGTGGCGTTTGTGACAGAAATTCCCAAGAACGCGTCCGAGTTTACTGTTGTCATCCACGAGCAGCGAGCCATTCTCTACGCTGCCCCAGTATTGTAGGATGCTAGTAATTGAAGATCCCATCGGCTGTGTGTGCCTGTATAGACTGTTCTCATACAAGATTTGGAGGCAATAATAGTGCGTCTGTACCTTTTTTTTTTAAAGAAAGGAGTTTCCTCTGCTGTTAAGAAAGCTGTAAAGTTTACTAGTGCGTCTGTACCTAGGCTTGAATAATCAGCATATAGGAAATAATTTCCGATAATTTTCAGTGTTCTATCACAATAATTTTTTTTTCATGCACGGATCATCACAGGTCATTGCCCTAGCTCCTGCTCTGATCCTTTTACCTCACCCAGACACCCTGCCCCTGTGTGTTCAGTCAGGTGTTGAGCATCTTTTCGCTTGATGGAGTCTGCCGTCTAGTGGGCCGCGGCCCACGGACTGCCCATTCCGAAACGTGTATGACATGTAGAATCCACTGCTGCTTTTCAGTCAAGCAAACGTGAAAATGAACATAAGCATCCAACAAGCAGCCTCGTTCTTTTGAGGGTAAAATGGTAAATACAGACATACAGTACTTATAGCAACATCTCTGTCACTGTCAGCCCGGTGATGCGTTCTAAGGGTTCGTGCGATCTGTCTACGCGATGACCCTGCCGTGACACGAATTATCATCGGGTTCACTCGCAGCAGCCCTTTCGGTCAGGGTCAGTCCACCAGTGGCATCCGCCCTTGGAAAAGCATGCGAGGTGATCGTGGGCTCGTGGCAGGCAGGCAGGCCTAGGCACCGTGACCTAAGCATGGCCGCGCCGCCCGCACGGCGTTACGTGTGGAAGGAAATAGTATATATTTTGCCGGCACTCGCGCGCGGTCCCGATTCTTTGCTGCATCGACGCAAACACGCAAGTCCCACTCACTGCGCGGCCCAAGTATCCTGGACGGACGCCGCCACCCGCCGAGACGGTCTCGCGCTCGGCGCGGCGCAGGATCAGAGGAGTGCACGCACGCTTGGCCACCCGTGGCTTTTGGAGCTTTTTCTCCGATGCGATCTCCGACAGAATAAAGGAGAAACCGACCGATGGAAGGCGGTTACAAACGTCCTATACCTAGCTCGCTGCACGACGTCGACGACCGCGAATGGATTTGGAGTAAAAGGATCGGGGAGCTAGCAAGGAAAATGAGAACGACTCGCGCAAAAGCAGAGGAAGCACCGGGAAGGCAGACGAGAGCAAACCGCAGACGGCAGTGGCAGTGGCACCAGAGACCCTGCAACTGCAAGGCAGCAATCCCGGCTTGGTTTCCCGGGGGAAGCACGACGTGCCGCCGGACCACGGCTCCGGCGGTGAGACCACAGACCAGCAGCATCGGCATTTGGCCGCTAGTACGCACGTGCAGCTACGTGGCGGAAACGGATCAGAGAAAGCTGGAGAAGAATCCGCGTGGTGAGGTGAGGCCGGGGACGGCACGCTCGCACAGCAAGGCGACGACGGGCCGCTTGTCGGCCGGCGACCCCAGACGTCCAAATCAGGGTGGTCGCGCGAGTCAATGCAGGCACGAGGCACTGCGCGATCCGTCGTCCTGAATCGACGACCGATGCCAGGACGACGACGTGAACACAAGGGGACAAGGCGGGAGCAGCGGGCCGTGCAGGCATAGCATTGCGCGTTACACGGGCAGGAGCTAGCCCAGTTTGGGGTGGGGCAGTCAGACTCAGACGGCGGCACGGCGCTTGGGCCTTGAGTTGAGTAGAGCCGCCTTCAAGCGCGCGGTCGCTGGGGGCTGGGGCGGGTCGGCCCGGGTCGCCGTTGGCCGACCTGCTGGTTACCGCCTGGCGGGTGGCGGGGCGGGCCTTTGTTTGTTCCGTAGCGTCACGGGCAGGAGTCGGGAGAGACCGGCGCGTCCTGTCACGAATTGACAGCCTAGCCGCCGCTCGGGGGTCGAACGGACCCGGCGGCCGCCCCGCACGCACACGTAGCCTACCAGCGCTGCGCGTCCGTGCGCGCGCGCTACCTGTCTACAGAAAGGGGAGGGACACCGTGCAAGTGGAGCAGTTCGCTGGCCATGCCGTCGCGGTTCAGAATATGGGGCATCGGATCGGTGGCGCCAATCGTCGCCTCTGCCGCCGTCCGTCCTGCGTCGTATGCGGGTTCAGATTCTCTAACTTTAACTTGCTAAAGGAAAGTCACCGGTGACTTACTCCATGCCCGATGCCCTCCATTCCACATCCAACAGCTGATAGAAGATGCAACTTTTTCAACCCAAGCAACAAAGCCCAGCTGTGGTTTTGGCCCAAATATAGCCTAACTCGGAATTATTATATATGAAACAGAGAAATAACATATAGTTTTACTAAGTATTTTCATAGCAAAATTAAACGGGCATTTTACTAAGTATTTTTAATGAGCAATACTATGATAACCTCTTTACTTACTAGGAGGTAGTACCTCAAATAAATCCCTTGATTTTTTTATAGTTTTTTGAATTAATTATTAATTAATCTATGAAAAGAAAAAGAGATATAGTCAAATCCTCCTAATCAGAACCTTCCTTGCCGCACCTTTTCTTGTTCTCGCCTTTACCTTTTCCGTTCTGTGACTGTGCATAAATATTTTATCCTACTAAAATAACTGATAAAGCATACAGTATATGCTCGCAATAGAATTTGCTTCGCTCAGCACTTGAGCAGTTGAGCTGGTGGTGTTTGTACTTGTACCGTTCCGGTGGTATGGTTAGTTATTATTATTATGGCCGTGTTTAGATTAGCGTTAAAGTTTTGGTACGTCACATCGGATGTTACATGAGATGTTTGATACTAATAAAAAAATAAATTATAGATTTCGCCAATAAACCGCGAGACGAATTTATTAAGCATAATTAATTCATCATTAGCATATGTGTACTGTAGCACTTTATTGTTAAATTACGAACTAATTAGGCTTAAAAGATTCGTCTTGCAAATTAGTTATAAACTGTGTAATTAATTATTTTTTAGTCTAAACAAGAGCTGTATCATGCGTGTTGCATATTAGTACTACGTGACAGTGGAATAGTGCGTGTAAGCGACGTGCAAGATGGATGAGATGATGCGCTTCTCAAGACAGCGCGTACGACATCCTGGTATCTGAAGAAACCGGGGGCACCCGTCGCCAGGCATTGATACCGCAAAGATTTGTCAATTAGGGCGGGCCGGCTACCTGCGTGTCTGTGAGGTGTACACAACGTCAACGCTTATCGTGTTGGTATTGGGAAGCTGAAGCACCCTCATGTGCGCTCAATGCAACATATTTCCAAGGATGGGTTTTTGTTGCACACACACACACACGAAAATGGGGAAATTTATTTCCCAGAAAATAGCCTACTGCAATCTTTAATCTTTGCTCTATCAATACAAGCCGTGCGGAGACTCTCATGAGACTATGAGAGAGCACTTTCGATTTCTTTTCCTTAGTATTAATTACACTATTTTATATTTTACACCATTCGCGAATCAATGGACCCGTGACGTAATCCTGTCATATTGCGATACATGCATTACAATACAGCAGGGGCATCTGTATTTTCAAGGATATATAAGCACATAACGGACGCAACACGCTCATTATTGATGGGTCAATGGAGTGGTTAGGCTCTTGTCAACTGCAACTCAAATGCATGCCACCCCGGCTGTTTCAGTATCATTCCACAATGGCTCATGGGATCTGATTACTTCGCTTTCAAAATTTGCCATGCCAATGATTTGACAAGCCATAAATTTATCTAGTATTTGGTTTGCTACTAAAACTTGTCAAACTCTTATATTTGGCTTGCCAAATCTATGGCAATATTTTTGTCTAACTTTTAACTTGCCAAATCTTTAGCATGGTAAATTTTGGATGTAAACCAAGCATGCCCATGGTCACCAGACACTAGAAACCAAGCGATCGCTATAACACCCAAACAAAGACAGGAGAATAATTCTTCCATAGGCTTGGGGAAAACTTTCAAGAGTTTCAGAAATTCCATTTCCATCGTGATCCATGCACCATAGCTCTTTGTAGGTCTGAACAATCTGTTGGAACGGAGACTGCAACTGCATTTAAGAAATTAGTCCTGTTCGTTTGAACTTATCAGTCATAATATAGTGTTTTTTTCTCTCACAATAAATCAGCGAACAATACTTTTTAGCCTGACTTTTCGACGAAGCGAACATAATGCAGTGCAAGAGAAGATATATAAACCACCAGGCCCCCAACAGATTCAAATGATTAGTACGTGATGCCCTCATGCTGATGCATCATCACTAAACAAAACGGTTGCATCCTTTATTTGCTCTGTTCGTTTGGCTGATAAGCCATGGCTGAAAGTACCGTTGACTGATTTGTTGTGAGAGAAAAATATTGTCCGTTTGCTGAAAAAGTATGACTTATAAGCCAAGCGATCAGGGCAATCTGTGCTCTTTCGATTATGTGGCCTACGCCGCAATCAAAGGCGGAGCTCCCCATGCGGCAGGGTGGCGTAGCTGCCACACCTACCGTCGGCGGGAGCACATAGTACCCCTGTCTTCTTCCTCAGGCACGGCGTTCGAGTGGCGGCGTTCGGCCTCCAACGGCACGGCTGGACACCTGACTGGACTAGAACACATTATTTGGAGAGGGTCCAGAGCCGCATGAGCGAAGGCCAAAGGCCCAATAGAAGAATAGAGCCCATCAGCACAACATCAAAGAATCACCTAGCTCTCGATCCCCAATCCCCCAACCCCGTCAGTTCATCACCGCGACGTGCATTAGGCCGCCGCCGCGCGGCCCTTAGCGCGCCGCTGTCAGTGCCGCCGCCCCTTGCCGCGACAGCCTTAAAGACTGCAGGTTGCCGCTCGCCCATGCCTATTCTCTCAGCGGCTTAGTGCTGCAGTGCAGGGGAAGGGCAGCAGCCAGCTAGTTACGGAGGACGAGGTTGGAGATGGTGAAGGTGAGCAAGTGAGATTTTACTTGTATCGTGTAATTGAGATTAGTTCTTTAATAGTAGGCTAGTGGTATGTCTCTTATTGTGGCGTGTGTTTTTAGATGTATTATCACATATAATTA